AGATACCTAGGCTTAGTTGGTAGTTGACTAATCAACTACTCTTTTACATCCCTAGAGGCGACACAGCTGTACTGATGCAAAATAATAAGTGTATGTAACTTGCCTGTCAGCATAATTTAACTAGTCCCAATGAATGGTAGAATGTCTTCTACTGATGCAATAACATTGCTCAGAGGTGTGAAAAAAGCTTTACTAACAAAAATGTTAGTGCCAAAATAGACTTAGACAAGTTAGATGTCTTTAAGTCACCAGGGACTGATGAAATACATCCTAGACAGAAATGGTACAGTACGATGTACCAGTAGTTAAGTGACTGCTGGAATGGGCTGGTATGCCGACAATGTTAAATTGCTGCTGCAGTAGCAGCACTTCAAGGACCTTACTGTCAGGGCTGCCAGTGGGAAGATGAAAAAGGGCAGCTGCCTTCAGGCCTGGCAATTGAAAAGTGTCTGGGACTCCTGCTGCTGCCATGGTGGCCAGGGTCCTGGGCATAGGTTTGGAACCCCTGAGGAAAAATTAGTCCGTGCAGAGCACCCAGTTCCCCTCCTGCCATTTCATGCATTGGTGGCCCTGCACTTACATCTCTTTCCCATCCCTCCCAGGGTTTCTGGAGGTTAGTGAAGAGCTGATTAGCCCCTCTGGCAGAGAGGGGGAGGAGATGGGGCAGAGACTTGAGGAAAGAGGTGGAGTGGAGGCAGAGCCTGGAGTTCAAGCCACCCCCAAGCAAAATGACGAGTCAGCGCTTAAGGCCCCAGACAGCATGGGCTAGGCCTTCTAACCAATAATATTTTTAAGTTACTTTTTATCCCTATCCTAAAATTCTCAAGGAGTTCACAGAGAAGATATGAGCCATTAATGATTATCTTTGAAAAGTCATGGAAGATGGGAATGATTCCAGAGGACTAGAAAAGGGAAAATATGTGCCCAACTATAAAAGGCAAAACAAGGACTCTCTGGGTCAGTATCCAGAAGGATAATTGAGTGAATAATTAATCAATTTGCAAACACCAAAAAGATAAAAAGTGATAAATAACAGCATTGATTTGCAAGAAAAAATGAAAAACCCAACATAATAGCTTTCTTTGACAGGGTTAACAAGCCTTTAGGATGGGGGGTAGCGATAGAAGTGGTATATCTTGACTTTAGTAATGTCATACATGATTTTTTTTCATAAGCAAACTAGGGAAATACATCCTACATGGAGCTACTGTTCCAGAGAATAATTATCAGTGGTTCAGTCAAACTGGAAGGGCATATCAAGTGGAATCCTGCAAGGATTAGTTGTGGGTCTGGTTCTATTCAATATCTTCAAAGTTTGTGAACAATACCAATCTGAGAGGGATTGTAAGTGCTTTGGGAACTAAGATTAAATTCAAAATGATCTGGACAAATGATCTGAAGTAAATAAGATGAAATTTAATAAGGACTAATGTAAAATACTCTACTTAGGAAAGAAAATGGGAAATGACTGCCTAGGATGAAGTACTTTGGAAAGGGATCTAGGGCCCACAGTCTACTATATATTTGAGAGAGTGAGTCTGTCTGCCCTTTAGGGAGGGCAGAGTGGACTGACGCTCCCCCTTCCAATTTGTATGGAAACATTGTTGGCTGTTCCCCTGGCTCCCTGACAAAGGGGATAGTACATAGTTTGTTGATGCCTCTACATGGCTGGGGAATGCAGGAGGCAGACGAACCTGGACATGCCCCACTCTTCCCCCGGCTGTGCTTGCTGGAGCTGCAGCAGCTATGGAGAGAGGAACTGCTCACCTTGCCCCAAGCTGCTATGGCGGGGTAGTCCTCTCTCCCCACGGCAGCCTGCATATTGAACCCCTCATCCCCAGCCTCACCCCAGAGCAATGATTTAAATCCGAGCTACTCAACACACAGCTTATGGAATGCATGCGGCCCACGGCCTGTTTGTTTGCAGCCCACGGTGCGGTTTGGATTTACGTGGGACTCGATACGTGGCCCATAGGTGGGAGCCAAAACAAAAAAGTAGTCAATATAATGGTCTTCTTTTCATTCCTGAACTGTCATTGCTCATTAAAAGTACTGTCATATGGGTGGAAATCGGTTAAATATTGCATTTTATTAATAACAGCAGAACTGACTTAAATGGGGCCTGCGTGTTGTGTAGTCTTGCCTTAATCTTTGTATTCATGCCTGTCAGTGTGAAAGAAGCTATTTGCACATATATTTGCATATGTATGCAACCACACCTAAGTTGTGGCCCTCTGCATGTGCTGTGAGTATCATTGTGGCTTCCAGGGCTTCCAAAGTTGAGTAGCCCTGATTTAAATGAAGAAAACAATAATTGAGTTAAGGACCTGAGCAATGCCTTGTAGATCTTCTAGTGGTTATAAGCTAAATATGTCAACAGCGTAACACTGCTGCCAAAAACAAAACATAAAAGCAAACATAACTCTAGGATGTATTAACAGGACTGTTCAAGACACGAGAATTTTTTCTGCTTTACTCAATACTGATTAGGCCTCAGAGTATTGTCAAGTTCTGAGTGCCACATTTTCAGGAAAGATGTGGACAAATGATAGAAAGTCCAGAGAAGAACAACTAAATTATTAAAAATCTAGCAAACTTGATTTAGGAGGGAAGATTGAAAGAATTGGGTTTGTTTAATCTGAAGAGAAAAGTGAGAGGGGACATAACAGTTTTCATGTGTTACAAGGAGGGAGAAAAGTTGTTCTCAATCTGTCATGATAGGAGTAGTAGTAATGGGCTTAAACTGCAGCAAAGGGGAAATTAGGTTGGATGTTAGGATAGTTACTACTATGATGCACTGGAATAAATTGCCTAAGGAGGCTGTAAAATCTCTATCCTTGGAAAATTTTAAGAGCAGATTAAATAACCATCCCTAACAGGTGTTTTAGGTCAGGAGTGGGAAACCTTTTTTGGATTGGGGGGCCACTGACTCAGAAAAATCAGTTGGCCACATGCAAATGAAAAGTGTGTGTGTGGGGGGAGATCCCTCACAGACATGGCCCCCAATTGATAGAGAAAAATGGAGAGGCTCACCTCATTCAGGTTGGGATGCCAGGGTTCCCCTCATACTCCAGCCCCATTGTGAGGGGGTGCCATGGATTAACTTTTCTAGGGCCCCAGGGTTAGTAGATTTTGTGTGGCCCCGCTAGATTCTGGGGTAGAGCCAAACCTCAGCTTTCCACCCACCCCCTTACATGGCTGGAGCACTAATGCTGGCTCACCCTTCTGCGGAGGGGGAGCGAGATGGCGGAAGGGAATCCTGAGCCTCCTGGGCTGGATCATACTTAGTCCTG